TTACAGATGGCATACAAGTTTGTTATTAAGGCACATGAAAGTTCACATGTTCCAGAAGGCATTTCTTCCAAAAACGCATTTTGATAAAAAAATTAATGTTTACGTTCAAATGCCTCTCCTGTGAAGTAGTGACGCGCGACATATGCCTAGTTTCCTGAAACGACTCACATATGAAGGTCTTCAGGTCTTCTTACAGTAAGAGCTTTATAGGCAGTTTATAGCAAGGTTTCGTCTTGAATGTGAAGGAATTGCTGCATTTAATTTCACCATCATTCGACAGCCTGAATAGTATAATTTTAAGCTTCCAGTCTCCTAACTTATTAACCGAATGTCATGCTCTCTTTACCTCTGGGAAACACATGAAAAATACATACAGATGTTGGATTTTAATTTGATCACCCTGTTGCAGGAGAACTTGTAAAACTTTTAGTGTATTTGAAGTTTAAAAATGCTTCTGAAGTTTGTAATTTCCACAGAAAAATGTATCAACCCCTACAAAAATGTCCATTAATTATCCACATAATAATTCACATTTCGTGTTGCTGCAGGATTATTTTGGCTCAAATTAAAATCCTACATATGTACACTACTGTTCAAAAGTATGGGGTCACTTAGAAATGTCCTTGTTTTCGAAAGAAAAGCAATTTTTTTGTCCATTAAAAGAACATAAAATTGATCAGAAATACAGTTTAGACATTGTTAATGTTCTAAATGGCTATTGTAGCTGGAAATGGCTGATTTTTAAGGGAATATCTACAGAGGCCCATTATCAGCAACCATCAGTCCTGTATTCCAATGGCACGTTGTGTTTGCTAATCCAAGTTTATCATTTAAAAAGGCTAATTGATCATTAGAAAATCCTTTTGCAATTATGTTAGCACAGCTGAAAACTGTTGTGCTGATTAAAGAAGCAATAAAGCTGGCCTTCTTGAGACTAGTTGAGTATCTGGAGCATCAGCAATTGTGTGTTCGATTACAGGATCAAAATGGCCAGAAACAAATAACTTTCTTCTGAAACTCTTCAGTCTATTCTTGTTCTGAGAAATGAAGGCTATTCCATGCGAGAAATTGCCAAGAAACTGAAGATCTCGTACAACGCTGTGTACTACTCCCTTCACAGAACAGCGCAAACTGGCTCTAACCAGAATAGAAAGAGGAGTGGGAGGCCCCGGTGCACAACTGAGCAAGAGGACAAATACATTAGAGTGTCTAGTTTGAGAAATAGATGCCTCACAGGTCCTCAACTGGCAGCTTCATTAAATAGTACCCGCAAAACACCAGTCTCAAAGTCAACAGTGAAGAGGCGATTCCGGGATGCTGACCTAGGCAGAGTTGCAAAGAAAAAGCCATATCTCAGACTGGCCAATTAAAATAAAATATTAAGATGGGCAAAAGAACACAGACACTGGACTTTTTCCTTTGCAACTCTGCCTAGGTCAGCATCCCGGAGTCGCCTCTTCTTGCTTCTTTAAATCAGCACAACAGTTTTCAGTTGTGCTAACATAATTGCAAAAGGGTTTTCTAATGATCAATTAGCCTTTTAAAATGATAAACTTGGATTAGCAAACACAACGTGCCATTGGAACACAGGACTGATGTTGCTGATAATGGGCCTCTGTACGCCTATGTAGATATTCCATTAAAATCAGCCGTTTCCAGCTACAATAGCCATTTACAACATTAACAATGTCTACACTGTATTTCTGATCAATTTGATGTTATTTTAATGGATACATTTTTTTTGCTTTTCTTTCGAAAACAAGGACATTTCAAAGTGACCCCAGACTTTTGAACGGTAGTGCACAGTGCATTCTAAAATGGATTAAATAAACAATTTTCATCATCAATCTACATACAATACCCCATAATGACAAAGCAAAAACAGGTTTTTAGAAATTCTTGCAAATGAATATATAAAATAAAATAAATACCTTATTTACATAAGTATTGAGACCCTTTGCTATGAGACTCGAAATTGAGCTCAGGTGCATCCTGTTTCCATTGATCATCCTTGAGACAGTCCACCTGTGGTAAATTCAATTGATTGGACATGATTTGGAAAGGCACACACCTGTCTATATAAGGTCCCACAGTTGACAGTGCATGTCAGAGCAAAAACCAAGCCATGAGGTCGAAGGAATTGTCCGTTGAGCGCAGAGACAGGATTGTGTTGAGGCACAGATCTGGGGAAAGGTACCAAAACATTTCTGCAGCATTGAAGGTCCCCAAGAACACAGTGGCCTCTATCATTCTTAAATGGAAGAAGTTTGGAACCACCAAGACTCTTTCTAGAGCTGGCCGCCCGGCCAACAAAGAAGGGCCTTGGTCAGGGCGGTGGTCACTCTGACAGAGCTCTAGAGTTCCTCTGTGGAGATGGGAGAACCTTCCAGAAGGACAACCATCTCTGCAGCACTCCACCAATCAGGCCTTTATGGTAGAGTGGCCAGACGGAAGCCACTCCTCAGTAAAAGGGACATGACAGCCCGCTTTGAGTTTGCCGAAAGGCGCCTAAAGACTCTCAGACCATGAGAAACAAGATTATCTGGTCTGATGAAACCAAGATTGAACTCTTTGGCCTGAATGCCAAGCATCACGTCTGGAGGAAACCTGGCACCATCCCTATGGTGTAGCATGGTGGTGGCATCATCATGCTGTGGGGATATTTGTTCAGCAGCAGGGACTGGGAGACTAGTCAGGATCGAGAGAAAGATGAACGGAGCAAAGTACAGAGAGATCCTTGATGAAAACCTGCTCCAGAGTGCTCAGGACCTCAGGCTGGGTCGAAGGTTCACCTTCCAATAGGACAACAACACTAATCTCACAGCCAATACAATGCAGGAGTTGCTTCGGGACAAGTCTCTGAATGTCCTTGAGTGGCCCAGCCAGAGCCCGGACTTGAACCCGATCTAACATCTCTGGAGAGACCTGAAAATAGCTGTGCAGCGATGCTCCCCATCCAACTTGACAGAGCTTGAGAGGATCTGCAGAGAAGAATGGGAGAAACTCCCCAAATACCGGTGTGCCAAGCTTGTAGCGTCATACCCAAGAAGACTCGAGGCTGTAATCGCTGCCAAAGGTGCTTCAACAAAGTACTGAGTAAAGGGTCTGAATACTTATATAAATGTGATATTTCCGTTATTTTGCATAAATAAATAAAAAACAGTTATTGCTTTGTCATAATGGGGTATTATGTGTAGATTGATGAGGGGGAAAAACAATTTAATCAATTTTAGAATAAGGCTGTAACCGTAACAAAATGTTGAAAAAGTCAAGGGGTCTGAATACTTTCCGAATGCACTATCCTCAGTAACACACATACAGTACACAGGTACAGTGGCAAGAAAAAGTATGTGAACCCTTTGGAATTACTTGGATTTCTGCATAAATTGATCATAAAATGTCACAACAATAGACAAACACAGTGTGCTTAAACTAATAACAGACAAATTATTATATTTTTCTTGTCTATATTGAATACATCATTTAAACATTCACAGTGTAAGTTGGAAAAAGTATGTTAACCCCTAGGCTAATGACTTCTCCAAAAGCTAATTGGAGTCAGGAGTCAGCTAACCTGGAGTCCAATCAATGAGACGAGATTGGAGATGTTGGTTAGAGCTGCAATGCCCTATAAAAAACACTCACAAAATTGGAGTTTGCTATTCACAAGAAGCATTGCCTGATGTGAACCATGCCACGAACAAAAGAGATCTCGGAAGACCTAAGATTAAGAATTGTTGACTTGCATAAAGCTGGAAAGGGTTACAAAAGTATCTTCAAAAGCCTTGATGTTCATCAGTCCACGGTAAGACAAATTGTCTATAAATGGAGAAAGTTCAGCACTGTTGCTACTCTCCCTAGGAGTGGCCGTCCTGCAAAGATGACTGCAAGAGCACAGCGCAGAATGCTCAATGAGGTTAAGAAGAATCCTAGAGTGTCAGCTAAAGACTTACAGAAATCTCTGGAACATGCTTACATCTCTGTTGACGAGTCTACGATACGTAAAACACTAAACAAGAATGGTGTTCATGGGAGGACACCATGGAAGAAGCCACTGCTGTCCAAAAAAAAACATTGCTGCATGTCTGAAGTTTGCAAAAGAGCACCTGGATGTTCCACAGCGCTACTGGCAAAATATTCTGTGGACAGATTAAACTAAAGTTGAGTTGTTTGGAAGGAACACACAACACTATGTGTGGAGAAAAAAAGGCACAGCACACCAACATCAAAACCTCATCCCAACTGTAAGGTATGGTGGTGGGAGCGTCATGGTTTGGGGTTGCTTTGCTGCCTCAGGGCCTGGACAGCTTGCTATCATCGATGGAAAAATGAATTCCCAAGTTTATCAAGACATTTTGCAGGAGAATGTAAGGCTATCTGTCCGCCAACTGAAGCTCAACAGAAGTTGAGTGATGCAACAGGACAACATCCCAAAACACAGAAGGAAATCAACAACAGAATGGCTTCAACAGAAGAAAATACGCCTTCTGGAGTGGCCCAGTCAGAGTCCCGACACCAACCCGATTGAGATGCTATGGCATGACCTCAAGAGAGCGGTTCACACCAGACATCCCAAGAATATTGCTGAACTGAAACAGTTTGGTAAAGAGGAATGGTCCAAAATTCCTCTTGACTGTTGTGCAGGTCTGATCCGCAACTACAGAAAATGTTTGGTTTGGTTGGTCAACGAGTTATTAAATCCAAGGGTTCACATACTTTTTCCACCCTGCACTGTGAATGTTTACACGGTGTGTTCAATAAAGACATGAAAACGTATAATTGTTTGTGTTATTAGTTTAAGCAGACTGTGTTTGTCTATTGTAGTGACTTAGATGAAGATCAGGTCAAATTTGATGACCAATTTATGCAAAGATCCAGGTAATTCCAACGGGTTCACATACTTTTTCTTGCCACTGTATCTGAGTCAGTGTGTCCCTTCTCTGCCCAGGTTGTGAGTAGATTCTCTGGGGGCTTCTGCTGACAGGTGTCAGTCCACAACCATGACTCAGTCTGTGCAGGTCAACCCAAAGCTGCCTGGTAAGCACATTTCACCCTTATTCACTTTATTAGACGTTCAGTTCCAGCTGGTATTTACCAAGTCATTATGTTGTAACAAATGATGGATACTGTCTAAGACTTAGAAAGAATTAAACAGAATTGCTAACTGTTATTATAAATGTTTTTTTTGCGGCTTGCAGATCTGGGCGCACCATTTTTATACTCCAGTCGGGAAGAGGCGGATCAACAGGGCTCCTATTCGGTCCAGACACCGTATGGCTTCCAGCTTGACCTGGACTTCCTGAAGTATGTGGAGGAGATAGAAAGCGGCCACCATGTCCGCCGGGCACCCATCAACTCCCGCAGGTCATCCCGGGGGGTCAAAGTCTCCCAGTGGAGCCCGAGTGTGGGGGGACGCGCCAGTGGCTGGACCTCCACAGAGTCCCTCTCCTCGCCCGCCAGCGAAGATGGTCGAGTGCCACCTCCCCCGCCCCCACGGAATCGCATCGGCTCCGCTCCCAGTGAGGGGCAACCCTTGTCCTCGCTGTCTGTCCTCAGCCCTCCTCTCTCTGCTGCCGGCAAAGTGCCACCACCACCTCCACTACGAAACCCCAGGGTAGAGAGGACCCTCCTGGAGACCAGCCTGAGACTGCAGCAGGAGCAGAGCCACCAGCACCAAAATGGCGCCCATTTCCAGCTCTCTGACCCACCAAAGCAAAACCCCAGGGCTGCCCCTACCCATGTCACCCCAGCTAGTGCAGCAGCCAGCGTGGACGGCCAGCCCTTGCACCTGTCCTCTGCCTCCCCCAGCCCATCTCAGAGTAGCCTGACCAGACCCAGTCCCCACACCTCGGGGAAGAGCACCCCGGCCTCTAGCACCGGAATGGCTACTCTGCCGCCCAGCCAATTGCAGACGGTGAGAGAACAGATGGCCACTGCCCTGAGGCAACTGAAGGAGATGGAGGAGCGAGTAAAGGGGGTCCCAGTGCTGGAAAGAGAGGTGGCCAAGCTACGGGCTGAGAAAGACATGCTCCTACTGGCACTGCAGGAGAAGAAGACCTTGGCGGCCCAACAACAGGCTACAACAGTAGTCAGCAGTACTAATACCACCACGGTGGACGTAGGCACACGGAGTCAGGAACGTCCTCCTTTATCCCCTAAGAGTCCCAGAAGTCCAAAGAGTCCAAGTAAAGTAGGGGACCTCAGAAAGCTGACAGAGAAGTTTGAAGGCAAGACAGAGAAAGATGGAGCATGTTCTGAGAAAGTTCCGGAGAAGGTTGTGGAGAAGAAGTCTGTGGCCATCGGGGACGACATGTCGCTGGACGCTGGGGTCTTCTACTACAGCCTGGGCGCCAAGGACGCCTCAGAGGGCACGCTGCAGATGGACGTCTGCGAGAAAGGGGTGGCCACGGAGGCGCCGGCCGTCCACGAGGAGGGGGTGCAGGCCATAGTGGAGACAGAGGAGGCCTCAGTTTGGGTGATGGAATCCCAGCTGGGGCTAAGCAGCGATGCCCAGAGGGAGATCGACACCCTACTGGACACCATCAAGTTCCAGCAGGAGTCCATCTCAGTTCTGGAAGGGCGACTTGGCCAGGCTGACGAGGACCTGGCAGTGCTCAAAGCCCAGGAGGATGAATGGAAGTCCAAGGCAACGTCCGAGAAGGGGGTCCTTGCCAAACCAGACTCTGCCCATGCCCAAGTTGGGACTGAAGCCTCTACAATGTCACAGAATGTCGCAGTCTCCTGTTGTCTTGAGGTGGTTGACGCATGTGTAGGTGAGGATTTGAGAGCTGGACATTACGACCAGAGCACTCAGACTGACTCTGTGGAGAGCCCTGCAGAAGAGGAATCAACCCCAGTAGTACTGATCAGCACTGGAAGTCAATGGGAGAATCTATACGAGGAGGAGGAGGACATAGAGCAGATAGCTCCAGTCACTGCGCTGAAGAGGAGACAGACGACCATCACGGAGTACAAGGTCAACCCTGGCGAGGAGACGGTCAGTTTAGCCGAAGGAAAGGGAGTGAAAGAGGAGGAAACGGCGGCCAGCACTCCAACAACAATGGTTGGAAGTGAGTGCCAAGTGTATTTATACAATAGTACTTCATTTAGAAGATAAATGATTCCCCCACACTAATAAAGCAGGTATAAAAGTAATATAGAATTCAATGTACTAACATATTGGTTGGGTCACTCACCACATCCGTTGTGGCCACAGGTATGCTAAAATCAATCATGAAGAAGAAGGATGGGAGTAGTTCCAGTGAATCACACAGCAGCGGCAAGAAGAGCTTGCAATTTGTTGGCATTCTCAATGGGGGGTAAGTGGTGCTTTGCCATCAATTAATGTGTCAAATCATCACATATTACCATTACACTGACAATACGCAGGGCATATTAGAAGGAAATGATGACCAATGTTAAAGATAACTAACTAGACGTGCTTCTGTCCAGGTATGAGTCGACATCTAGTGAAGAGGAGGAGGATGATGAGGAGGAAGAGGGGAGTTCCTCAGGTGGCAGTGAAGTAGGTGATTGCTCAGACAGTAGTGATGATGCAGTGGCAGCTCTGGAGGAGACCTCCGATGAGGAGAGGAACATGAATATGGATGACACCGATAGTGATGATGTGGCCTTAGCAGCAGGGACTGGAGCCACTGAGGAGAGTCCAGATGCAGTGAAAGAGAAGTATGCTTGATTATGACTACATCTCATAGAACTCTGTCAATGGGGGCAGATACAGTGCATTCAGAAAGTATTCACATCCCTTGATCCCTTGACAAAGTGGGATTCAAATGGTTTGAATTGTTATTTTCTTTCAACGATCTACACAAAGTACTCTAATGTCAAAGTGGAAGAAAAATTTGAACATTTGTAAAACATTCGAAATAAAACACTAATATATCTTGATTAGATAAGGATTCAACCCCCTGAGTCAATACGTTAGAATCACCTTTGGCTTTCTGGGTAAATCTCTAAGAGCTTTCCACACCTGGATTGTGCAACAGTTCCCCATTATTCTTTAACAAATTCTTCAAGCTCTGTCAAATTGGTTGTTGATCATTGCTAGACAACCATTTTCAGGTCTTGCCATAGGTTGTCAAGCAGATTTAAGTCAAAACTGTAACTCGGCCACTCAGGAACATTCACGGACTTCTTGGTAAGCAACTCCAGTGTAGTTTTGGCCTTGTGTTTTAGATATTTGGCCTGCTGAAAGGTGAATTCATCTCCAGTGGCGCGTGTATTCCCCCAAAAATGTGTCTCTGTGTTTCATACATTTCCTTCAATTCGCAAGAGGATGAATGTATTTCACCGGAGAAAGCATTTGATCGAACAAAACAGCACCCCTCTGTCTCAGTATGTGTAGCATATCTATCTGATGCGGTCTGGTCAGAAAGAGTATGACATTGTTGCCACCTATAGCATTGAATGTAAGGGAAGCCAGCGAGCATTTGGCCTCCCTTGATATTAAAAAAAATTAAATAATAGCCAATCAGCGTTGAGCTAAACTGAGTGAGCTCAGCTGTGAATGGTCCTGGCGCACCAAAAAAAAGTGTAGAGGGAAGCCAGTTTGGATGTGGCTTCAGACCAATCACATCACAAGGCAAACGTAATTATTGACAGAAATAAACTTGAATTGTTGCATCTCGTTGTGTTGTTGTCCTCTGGTGGCTACCTAGCTAGCTAAAATCTTCCCTTTCCTAAATTAGCCATCAATGAAGATAGGGATTTGGACTTGTGGTTTTACTTAATTCTCCCTACTGGCCAATAATTATAACGGTGATTCTGATCCAACCATAAATTCCTACATTGTGCCCCTGGCCTGAGAAGATGGAAATTCAACATGTAGTTAGATGTAGTATGCTAATGTTAACTAGCTGGCCTGGCATATCATCGCCCATGAAAGGAAGCTAGCGAGCAAGTATTTTAGCCAGGTAGCCTAGGACAACAAAAACTAGTGGGTACTATGACAGAGTCATAGACCGTTTAGGCAACATGAAAGAGGAGGGTGGCATTGGTGTTTTATTTTATTTATTTTTATTTCACCTTTATTTAACCAGGCAAGCCAGTTGAGAACAAGTTCTCATTTACAACTGCGACCTGGCCAAGATAAAGCAAAGCAGTGCGATAAAAACAACAACAACACAGAGTTACACATGGGATAAACAAAACATACAGTCAATAACACAATAGAAAATCTATAGTGTGTGCAAATGTAGTAGGTTATGGAGGTAAGGCAATAAATAGCCCATAGTGCAAAATAATTACAATTTAGTATTAACACTGGAGTGATAGATGTGCAGAAGATGATGTGCAAATAGAGATACTGGGGTGCAAATTAACAAAATAAATAACAATATGGGGATGAGGTAGTTGGGTGGGCTAATTACAGAATGGGCTGTGTACAGGTGCAGTGATCGGTAAGCTGCTCTGACAACTGATGCTTAAAGTTAGTGAGGGAGATAAGAGTCTCCAGCTTCAGAGATTGTTGCAGTTCGTTCCAGTCATTAGCAGCAGAGAACTGGAAGGAATGGCGGCCAAAGGAGGTGTTGGCTTTGGGGATGACCAGTGAGGTATACCTGCTGGAGTGCATACTACGGGTGGGTGTTGCTATGGTTACCAATGAGCTAAGATAAGGTGGGGATTTGCCTAGCATAGATTTATAGATGACCTGGAGCCAGTGGGATTGGCGACGAATATGTAGTGAGGGCCAGCCAACGAGAGCATACAGGTCACAATGGTGGGTAGTATATGGGGCTTTGGTGACAAAACGGATGGCACTGTGATAGACTACATCCAATTTGCTGAGTAGAGTGTTGGAGGCTATTTTGTAAATGACATCGCCGAAGTCAAGGATCGGTAGGATAGTCAGTTTTACGAGGGCATGTTTGGCAGCATGAGTGAAGGAGGCTTTGTTGTGAAATAGGAAGCCGATTCTAGATTTAACTTTGGATTGGAGATGCTTAATGTGAGTCTGGAAGGAGAGTTTACGGTCTAACCAGACACCTAGGTATTTGTAGTTGTCCACATATTCTAAGTCAGACCTGCCGAGAGTAGTGATTCTAGTCGGGCTGGCGGGTGTAAGCAGCGTTCGATTGAAGAGCATGCATTTAGTTTTACTAGCGTTTAAGAGCAGTTGGAGGCTACGGAAGGAGTGTTGTATGGCATTGAAGCTCGTTTGGAGGTTTGTTAACATAGTGTCCAATGAAGGGCCAAGTGTATACAAAATGGTGTCGTCTGCGTAGAGGTGGATCTGAGAGTTACCAGCAGCAAGAGCGGCATCATTGATATACACAGAGAATAGAGTCGGCCCGAGAATTGAACCCTGTGGCACCCCCATAGTTTCTCTACAAGTAGGGTGAGTCAACATGTTTTATTCTACACACACAAACACACACACACACACACACACACACACACACACACACACAAATCAATACCATGGACAGCCACATCATATTTAGCTTACATTGATTGGACTAAATAGTTTTTGGTATCTTTTAGTTGTCACGGTATTAGACTAAGCATAGGTGATTAGATGTTGAAGTTGAAATGGTGCTGGAATAGTGGCAGCAGCTCCTGTTTTCTTTGCGACTTTCGGTAACTCTCCATGGTTCTAAATCAATAGTTGTTTAGTAGTCCAAAAATGTCGGAAACATTACCTTGCTTGACCACGCTGTAGGTCATGTAACTGTTACATGCAATTTGTTTTGTGGACTTCACCGGGCAGATGTTGCTCTCCGGTTTTCTAATGAAACAAATGTGTGGTTGAATTTATTCTGCCACTGTGTCTTCTTATTGTCTCGGCCTTAGGCCTATATATATCACGGTGTCATATGAACTAACAGGTTATAGAGCAAACAACTCAATTATCACAACACATAGGTTGTAATATGGCATTTTTTTCTGGATTGGCTTCCCCGGTGAATTTACCCATGCACCGCTACTGTTCATCTCCCGGTGTCTGATGGAAAGCAGACTGAACCAGGTTTTCCTCCTTAACGATTACAAGCATACCTATATCATGATGCAGCTACCACTATGCTTGAAAATATGGAGAGTGGTACTCAGTAATGTGTTGCATTGGATATGCCCCAAACACTTTGTATTCAGGACAAAAAGTTAATTGCTTTGCCACATTTTTTGCAGTATTACTTTAGTGCCTTGTTGCAAACAGGATGCATGTTTTGGAATATTGTTATTCTGTACAGGCATCCTTATTTTCACGCTGTCAATTAGGTTAGTATTGTGGAGTAAATACAATGTTGTTGATCTATCTTCAGTTTTCTCCTATCACAGCCATTAAACTCGGTAACTATTTTAAAGTCACCATTGGCCTCATGGTGAAAGCCCTAAGCGGTTTCCTTCCTCTCCGGCAACTGAGTTAGGAAGGACGCCTGTATCTTTGTGGTGACTGGGTGTATTGATACACCATCCAAAGTGTAATTAATAACTTCACCATGCTCAAAGGGATATTCAATGTCTGCTTAGTTTTTTTTTTACCCATCTACCAATAGGTGCCCTTCTTTGTGAGGCATTGGAAAACCTCTCTGGTCTTTGTGGTTGAATCTGTGTTTGAAATTAATTGCTCGACCTTACAGATAATTGTATGTGTGGGGTACAGAGATTCAAACATCATGTTAAACACTATTATTGCACACAAAGTGAGTCCATGTAACTTATTATGTGACTTGTTAAGCACATTTTTACTCCTGAACTTATTTAGGCTTGCCATAACAAAGGGGTTCAATACATATTGACTCGACATTTCAGCTTTTCACTTTAAATTAATTTGTTACAATTTTGTGGCAAAAAAATCTACATTGAATACATTTTAAATTCAGGCTGTAACACAACAAAATCTGGAAAAAGTCAAGGATTGAGAATACTTTCTGAAGGCACTGCAAAAAATGTAAATGGATATTCAACATCATTCTAAAGGGATAATTAACAGAATTTTCATATTTTGTTGAACGTTTGCTTTCCTCGAAAAAAGTATCTGTTGGTAGTAAAACTTTAATCCTCTATTTTGGTTTGTAGCTTACAGGTGGCCTGAATTTGCAAAGGTTAGCATAAATGCTTAGGAAATAATGGGAGCAAATCAAGCCTGAATTAACATATGAAACCCTAATATTACTGTAGTCAAAGTTATTTCGCAACATTATAATCTGTGAAGCTATGCATGTGTATATTATTGACAAGGAATTATAGCCAAGATGTTTACAAAAATGCATTGAATACTTTATATAGGAGCCTCATCCATTGGCTAACTGCACAAGCGGTAGATCCCCGTCTGTCACGACCCATAGATAACTTCCACGTCTAATTGCAGTAATCCCTTGTCCTAGGTTTGAGCTGAGTGCAAAAATGCGTGAGGCTTGTCTCATTTTGAAGAACCACCTGAATGATGATGTCAAAATACTGAAGAGTAAAGAAGTGGTGGGTTTCAGCATGCCTCTTTAATTCCTGTTTGATTATATCCTGGAAATCGTACATTTCCTTTGCAACTTCCGTTTTTTTTTTTTTCAATCCGCACAGTCTCTCAAGTGATCCCTCTCAGTATTATGAGTGATATTTTAAAGCTCCATGACTTTAAGTGTTTATAATCATGTTAGTATGTAACCTTTATGTAGTGGTATTCCATCCTTGATCTTATCCCACTTCCTCTCTCCTTCCCCCTTGTCTTGTCCTATAGATCTCCAGCACTCACACTGTGCAGCTGGAATGGTTCCGCATCTCCAGTGCCAAGCTGGCCCAGCCACCCCGTGTCTCAGACTACCTGATGGCCTTCACCGAGATCTCCTCTGCCCTGCTGGCCCACGTCGTCAACATGACCGATGGCAATGGCAACACAGCCTTGCACTACAGCGTCTCCCACTCCAACTTCACAGTGGTGGGGCTACTGCTGGACACAGGTTAGTTGGAGTGAGGAGTGTTCACTAATCTTTGGGAAGTTGTGTTAGGGTCAAGGTTTATGACCTTAGTGAAGAGGGCCTATTATAATGACTCTTCAGAAGTTTGGTTATTTATGGTTTAACTACAGGCATAAAATCACATTAGTTATGCCATTTATTTATTGTCAGGAAGTTTCTATCCGCCGGGGTTTCAGCAAGGTGTGTGTGCTCTGTGCAGGCATGTGTTGTGTAGATAAGCAGAACAAGGCAGGCTACACTGCTATCATGCTGGCAGCCCTCTCAGCTGTCAAAGAGGAGGATGACATGGTGGTGGTCAGGAAGCTCTTCAGTCAGGGCAACGTCAACGCCAAAGCCAGCCAGGCAAGTCCTTCTCAATCACTTCACATCCAGTCTATCCCCTCTGTCAATACTGCTTATGTGTATTTCGCTAACACTATGCTAACTGGGCTACGTTGTGTTTAGGCTGGCCAGACGGGGCTGATGCTAGCTGTTAGCCATGGACGGCAGGAGATGGTACGGGCGCTGCTGGACTGCGGGGCTGACGTGAACGTGCAGGATGACGAGGGCTCCACAGCGCTCATGTGCGCCAGCGAGCACGGCCGCGCCGAGATTGTCTCGCTGCTCCTGGACCAGCCGGGCTGTGACATCTCCATTGTGGACAATGTGAGTTCCTTTGCTGTCTGTCTGTTTACCCTGTACACCTGTCTGTTTACCCTGTACACTCACAGGGTGTGTCTTGATACGCTTACCTGGCTTCCACTTCCTGTCCACTTTCCTCATCCTCTACTTCTTTTCCGTTTCACGCTGAACTGAAAGAACTAAGCAGGTCAAAGCAAGTGCTCTGATAGGCTTTAACCATATTTTTTCGTATGTCCCGTCTTAACATCAGAGTTGCAGATGAAGGACAGGAGAGCAGGGGAGGAAACCACTCTAGATTATTGAGATGCACCCAAGAAGTGAATACAAAAACACATACACAATTATTTTTTTAATACATTCTTATTTGTAAAATAAATGTACATGTATGAACACTTTAAAAAAAAAAAAATTTTTACAATAAGACAGAATCATTTTATCATCTGTACACCAAGTGTTTTCTACAGTATGACTTTACAGTAGATTTTTCTCAGACTACTTTGAACATCTGGGTCAAAATGAGTTAGCCATGCAGCACATGGATTGGGTTTCAGAAGGACACAGCTGGACTGAGAGAGGCTGGGAAAGTATTTGGGAACATGTTTTTTTTAAACCCTGTGACAATTGGATACAGCTAATTATTGAGGACTGGGAGGCAGACAGAGATGTGGGTTAACCGTTTGCTGGTGTGTAACCTAGACCGACCAGGGGTGGGCAACCTCAAGGGCCAGTATGGATGCAGGGTTTGGTTCCAGCCTGAAATGCTACATTTAGTTTGTGTGTTGCTTAGCTGCCTAGAAGAAAAGCCTGTACCCACACCGGCCCAGCAGTTTAAGAGTGCCCACACCTCAAACAGACTGTATACAAGGGTTCCCCAAATTTGGCCCACAGGTGATTTTATTTGGCGCCCCAAGTTTTCTGAGGACAAAAATATATACAGTGGGGGAAAAAAGTATTTAGTCAGCCACCAATTGTGCAAGTTCTCCCACTTAAAAAGATGAGAGAGGCCTGTAATTTTCATCATAGGTACACGTCAACTATGACAGACAAAATGAGAATTCTTTTTCCAGAAAATCACATTGTAGGATTTTTAATGAATTTATTTGCAAATTATGGTGGAAAATAAGTATTTGGTCAATAACAAAAGTTTCTCAATACTTTGTTATATACCCTTTGTTGGCAATGACACAGGTCAAACGTTTTCTGTAAGTCTTCACAAGGTTTTCACACACTGTTGCCGGTATTTTGGCCCATTCCTCCATGCAGATCTCCTCTAGAGCAGTGATGTTTTGGGGCTGTCGCTGGGCAACACGGACTTTCAACTCCCTCCAAAGATTTTCTATGGGGTTGAGATCTGGAGACTGGCTAGGCCACTCCAGGACCTTGAAATGCTTCTTACGAAGCCACTCCTTCGTTGCCCGGGTGGTGTGTTTGGGATCATTGTCATGCTGAAAGACCCAGCCACGTTTCATCTTCAATGCCCTTGCTGATGGAAGGAGGTTTTCACTCAAAATCTCACAATACATGGCCCCATTCATTCTTTCCTTTACACGGATCAGTCGTCCTTGTCCCTTTGCAGAAAAACAGCCCCAAAGCATGATGTTTCCACCCCCATGCTTCACAGTAGGTATGGTGTTCTTTGGATGCAACTCCGCATTCTTTGTCCTCCAAACACGACGAGTTGAGTTTCATCTGACCATATGACATTCTCCCAATCTCTTCTGGATCATCCAAATGCACTCTAGCAATCTTCAGACGGGCCTGGACATGTACTGGCTTAAGCAGGGGGACACGTCTGGCACTGCAGGATTTGAGTCCCTGGCGGCATAGTGTGTTACTGATGGTAGGCTTTGTTACTTTGGTCCCAGCTCTCTGCAGGTCATTCACTAGGTCCCCCCGTGTGGTTCTGGGATTTTTGCTCACCGTTCTTGTGATCATTTTGACCCCACGGGGTGAGATCTTGCGTGGAGCCCCAGATCGAGGGAGATTATCAGTGGTCTTGTATGTCTTCCATTTCCTAATAATTGCTCCCACAGTTGATTTCTTCAAACCAAGCTGCTTACCTATTGCAGATTCAGTCTTCCCAGCCTGGTGCAGGTCTACAATTTTGTTTCTGGTGTCCTTTGACAGCTCTTTGGTCTTGGCCATAGTGGAGTTTGGAGTGTGACTGTTTGAGGTTGTGGACAGGTGTCTTTTATACTGATAACAAGTTCAAACAGGTGCCATTAATACAGGTAACGAGTGGAGGACAGAGGAGCCTCTGAAAGAAGAAGTTACAGGTCTGTGAGAGCCAGAAATCTTGCTTGTTTGTAGGTGACCAAATACTTATTTTCCACCATAATTTGCAAATAAATTCATTAAAAATACTACAATGTGATTTTCTGGAGAAAAAAAATCTCAATTTGTCTGTCATAGTTGACGTGTACCTATGATGAAAATTACAGGCCTCTCTCATCTTTTTAAGTGGGAGAACTTGCACAATTGGTGGCTGACTAAATACTTTTTTTCCCCCACTGTATATATTGTATACAGTGCCTTCTGAAAGTATTCACACCCCTTGACTTTTTCCCCCCCAAAAATGTGTTACAACCTTAATTAAATGTAGATGTTGTGTCACTGGCCTACAGACACCATAATGTGAAAGTGGAATTATGTTTTTAGAAATGTTTACAAATTAATTAAAAATGAAAAGCAGAAATGTCTTGAGTCAATAAGTATTTAACCCCTTTGTAATGGTAAGCCTAAATAAGTTCACTAAATAAGTTGCATGGACTCACTCTGTGTGCAATAATAGTGTTTAACCAGATTTTTGAATGACTACCTCTTCTCTGTACCCCTCCCATAAAATTATCTGTAAGGTCCCTCAGTTGAGCAGTGAATTTAAAACACAGATTCAAGCACAAAGACCAGGGAGGTTTTCCAATGGGTAAAAGTAAAAAAATCAGACATTGAATATCCCTTTGAGCATGGTGAAGTTATTAATTACACTTTGGATGGTGTATCAATACACCCAGTCACTACAAAGATACAGGTATCCTTCCTAACTCAGTTGTCAGAGAGGAAGGAAACCGCTTAGGGATTTCACCATGAGGCCAATGGTGATTTTAAAACAGTTACAGAGTGGCTGTGATAGGAGTAAACTGAGGATGGATCAACAACATTGTAGTTACTCCACAAAACTACCTTAAAAGACAGAGTGAAAAGAAGAAAGCCTGTACAGAATAAAAAAATATTCCAAAACATGCATCCTGTTTGCAATTAGGCACTAAAGTAAAACTGCAAAAAATTAACTTTGTCCTGAATACAAAGTGTTATGTTTGGGCAAATTCAACTCAACACGTCACTGAGTACCACTCTTCATATTTTCAAGTATGGTGGTGGCTGCATCATGTTATGAATATGCTTGTCATCGGCAAGGACTAGGGAGTTTTTTTTTGGGATAAAAATTAATGGAATAGAGCTAAGCACAGGCAGAATCCTAGAGGAAATTCTGTTTTTGTCTGCTTTCCAATAGGCACTGGGAGACAAATTCACCTTTCAGCAGGACAATAACCTAAAACACAAGGCCCAAATATACACTGGAGTTGCTTACCAAGCTGACACTGAATGTTCCTGAGTGGCCTAGTTACAGTTTTGACATAAATTGGCTTGAAAATCTATGGCAAGACTTGAAAATGGCTTTCTAGCAATGATCAACAACCAACTTGACAGAGCTTGAAAAATAAAAAAAATTATAATGTGCAAATATTGTACAATCCAGGTGTGCCAAGCTCTTAGTGACTTACCTAGAAGGACACAGCTGTAATCGCTGCCAAAGGTGATTCTAACATGTATTGACTCAGGGGGTTGAATACTTATCTAATCAGAAAGTATTCATACCCCTTGACGTAATCCTCATTTTGTTGTTACAGCCTGAATTCAAAATGGATTAAATATATGTTTTTTTCTCACCCATCTACACACAATACCTCATAATGACAAAGTGAAAACATGTTTTTAGAAATTTGGGGAAATGAAATACAGAAATATCAAAGTATTCACACCCCTCAATACTTTGTAGAAGCACCTTTGGCAGCGATTACAGCTGTGAGTCTTTCTGGTTAAGTCTCTAAGAGCTTTCCACACATGGATTGTGCAACATTTGCCCATTTATTATTTTCAAAATTCTTCAAGCTCTGTCAAATTGGTTGTTGATCATTGCTAGACAACCATTTTCAGGTCTTGCCATAGATATTTTGAAGTCAATTTGTAGTCTACAAATTATTTGTAATTACGTTCTTGCATATAGTTTATTATTCTTCCTAAACTGTGTGTTGAGGCTATGAAGGGGCAGGAGTTATATGTGTATCCCGCCTCAGAGGGTTTATAGCTAAGCCTGCTCTCCCTTTCGTCTTCCTCCCTCTCTAGGATGGCAGTAATGCTCTGTCCATCGCCCTGGAGGCTTCTCACAATGACACAGCTGTACTGCTTTACGCCCACATGAACTACGCCAAAGCCCAGACAGCTGTGAGTTCCCCAGACTCTGGTCTGGCGGGAGAGGGGCCTGCCTTTTTTTTATATGACAAACAGACAGTTAGGCCTTGAATCCAGTATGGGTCACACTCACAATATATCTGTATCATGCGTAATGTCACTACTATTTGAAGTGTGTAATTTTAGCGCCTCGGCTACACTCCAATGTTTAGTTTGGGTGTGGTATGTTTGCTGCTAGTTGAAAGATCCTGTCTTGACATGTGTAGCAGTAGTGACCCATAGAGCATATTCTATAAAGCACCATGTATTTTTTTCCTCCAGTTTATTACTGTTCATTGTGATTTTTGCCCTGTTTTACTGCTGTCAGTCTGAAAACATTGGTATATTTATTTCAGGGGACGACCAAGACTCGAAGCCCCACTAGTCCTCAAAAGACATGGCCTGCTGCGGAGTGATGGGCCACCAAAATGGAAAAATAAACATAACTGGACATGAGCATTGAAAAAGCTCCACTGGAATACTGTCACTGTCTACATAAATATATGTATTTATATCATGGCATACGTCATTCATTTATTTGTATTGTTAATATAATATTATTTTACCATAAATGCCATAAACCGTTATTATATACGCCAATAATCTGCATTTGCAACATTTCTGACTAGGTCAAGGTCTGCAGCATCTATTTTTCTATGATACAGTAAAGCAGACCTCACATTTATTTGCACTCATTGACTGTGTTTAGTTTTAGTTCCCCTCCCCCTTTTAAAAGGCACACTCCAGCTATTTTTGAAGTTTTCCTGTTCAAAAACAATATCTCACATATAAATACTGTAATGTACACACACTTAAGGGTAAAAAAATATGTTTTGAGCAAAATAGTGTTTTTTAGACACGTGCAAACTTCATGGAGTAGGCCATTCAAGTGGTTGGTCTGCCCTCTGATGTAATGGGCATCCCCCCTTGCTTGCAGTAACAATAGAGAACAAATGGATCACCTATTGATATGTGCCTTTTAAGTAAATCAGGTGATAAATTAGTTGAAAAGGAGACCGGAGTAGTAGCCTTCTCAATCTTCATGCCAAAATAGTGCCAAGTTTGCACTAACTGTCTATGCCTTGTATATTCATGTATCTATTTTCATGTAAAAAATAAACATATATTTACATAACATGTGACACTGTTACATTTTGTACTAAGCAGATATACCAGAAGAGGTCCACATTACATACATTTTTTTTGGTGCTTTTTAATGTTCATTTTATAAGATGATGTAAGGTATTCTTCTGTCAAACATGATCAAGCTATAAAAAGGTGAAATTTTGTTTAAATAGTATTTCAAGCAATAACCGTCCTGTCAGACATCAAGCCATCTTTTAATGCAAATTAATGTAATAAGATGACATGACATATTCTAATGTATACACAAGTTATCACCTGATACAGAAGCATGTCTGTAATCTGTCAGAGAAGCTGGCCTCTTAAAATAGGTCTGACTCTGTATAGTCTACGGACCAGACCAGAAAGCATCCAAGCGAGCGAAACAGCGCCCCTCTGTCTCTGTATGTGTATCTGATGCTGTCTGGTCATAAAGAGTATGACATTGTTGCATTGAATGCAAGGGAAGCCAGCGAGCATTTGGCCTCCAATGATCAAAAAAAGTAAAAATAATAGCCAAACAGCATTGAGCTAAACCTGAGTGAGCTCAACTGTGAATGGTCCTGGCGTACCAAAAAAAAAGTGTCAAGGGAAGCCAGTTTGGATTTGGCTTCACTCCTATCACATCGCATCAAGAGAAATACGTCATTGACAGAAACAATTGTTGCATCTCGTTGTGTTGTTGTCTTCCGATGGCTAGCTAGCTAAAATTGGTCCTTTCCTACATTAGCCATGGATGGAGATAGGGATTTGGACTTGTGGTTTTACTTAATTCTCCATACTGGCCCAATGATTATAACGACGATTCTGATCCAACCATAAAGTCATACATTGTGCCCCTGAGGAGGATGGAAGTTCAATATGTAGCTAGATGTAGAAGGCTAGCTAATGTTGCCCCTGAAAGGAAGTCAGGCTAGTGAGCAAGCATTTTAGGCAGGTAGCCTAGGACAACAAAAAATAATAGCATGTACTGTATGACAGAGTCATAGACCGTTTCGTCAACATGAAAGAGAGGAGGATGGCATTGGAGTCAAAAAAAATTTATACTTGCATGAATGCATGCACACACACACACACACAAATCAGAACCATGGTCAGCCACATCATATTTAGCTTACGTTGATTGGACTAAATTGTTTTTGGTTACTTTTAGTTGTCACTGTATTAGACTAAGCATAGGTGATTTGATGATTTTGAAATGTTGAAGTTGAAATGGTGCTGGAATAGTGGAGGCAGCTCCTGTTTTCTTTGCGACTTGCGGTAACTCTCTGTGGTTCTAAATCAATAGTTGTTTAGGTAGTCCGAAAATGTTGGTAACATTAACTTGCTTGACCATGCTGTAGGTCATGTAACTGCTTTGTGGACTTCACTGGACAGAGGTTGCTCACCGGTTTTGGGATGAAACAAAGGTGTGGTTGAATTTATTCTGCCACTGTGTCTTCATATGGTCTCGGCCTCAGACCTGTATACAGTATCACGGTCGCGAGGCATATGAACTAACAGGTCATAGAGCAAACAATGGAATTATCACAACACAGGTTGTAATATGGCTTTTTTTTCTGGTTTGGCTACCCCAGTGATTTTACCCATGCACCACTACTGCATTCCCCAGTCTCTCAAACGGCTAACTCCGCCCTCTCGCGGCAAGGCCGAGGGCCTGAGACTTTAAACGAACTACCCAACTCGCAGTCGGCTCAAGTAGGCAATAGAGACAATACTGACAGTATGTTTGCGAGATGTCAATTTTTAAATCCTCTGGCTTCTGCCATGTCTACAGACATTCCCCAAACAAACAAAACCCGACTCTCGGAGGATGCATGCGCAACTGGTAAATAGTCACCTTTAGATATATCAGTCAGTCAGGTGGCTAGCTGCCGGCAGAGACAGAGTTTGGGCAGGGGATGTGCAGCAACTGCGCGAGAGACATGTATGCGGGAGGTCGTAAGCGGAATCATGGAACAAGAACAGGAATATTGGGACAGGGACACAGAAATTTGGATTTCTGAGGAGGAACAGAGGCGGAAAAAGAGGAAGAGGAGGTTGAAGAGAATGAATCTGAGTAATATGGAGATAAAAATGGAGATGGGGTGTCTAAGAAGATTGGTGTCAAGTGCAAACAGAGAGAGCCATGCGCCAGACCGAGTTCTGGATGGGAAATGGAAGTGAATGAGGGCAAGTTAAGTGAGGTGGAAGGTGTGGTGAAGAGCTTGGAACATTTACATTTACGTCATTTAGCAGACGGTCTTATCCAGAGCGACTTACAAATTGGTGCATTCACCTTATAGCCAGTGGGATAACCACTTTACAATGTTTTTTTTCTTTCTTTGGGGTGGGTAAGGGGGGGTAGAAGGATTACTTTATCCTATCCCATGTATTCCTTAAAGAGGTGGGGTTTCAAGTGTCTCCGGAAGGTGGTGAGTGACTCCGCTGTCCTGGCGTCGTGAGGGAGCTTGTTCCACCATTGGGGTGCCAGAGCAGCGAACAGTTTTGACTGGGCTGAGCGGGAACTGTGCTTCCGCAGAGGTAGGGGGGCCAGCAGGCCAGAGGTGGATGAACGCAATGCCCTCGTTTGGGTGTAGGGACTGATCAGAGCCTGAAGGTACGGAGGTGCCGTTCCCCTCACAGCTTCGTAGGCAAGCACCATGGTCTTGTAGCAGATGCAAGCTTCAACTGGAAGCCAGTGGACTGTGCGGAGGAGCGGGGTGACGTGAGAGAACTTGGGAAGGTTGAACACCAGACGGGCTGCGGCATTCTGGATGAGTTGTAGGGGTTTAATGGCACAGGCAGGGAGCCCAGCCAACAGCGAGTTGCAGTAATCCAGACGGGAGATGACAAGTGCCTGGATTAGGACCTGTGCCGCTTCCTGTGTAAGGCAGGGTCGTACTCTCCGAATGTTGTAGAGCATGAACCTACAGGATCGGGTCACCACCTTGATGTTAGCGGAGAACGACAGGGTGTTGTCCAGGGTCACGCCAAGGCTCTTTGCACTCTGGGAGGAGGACACAATGGAGTTGTCAACCGTGATGGCGAGATCATGGAACGGGCAGTCCTTCCCCGGGAGGAAGAGCAGCTCTGTCTTGCCGAGGTTCAGCTTGAGGTGGTGATCCGTCATCCACACTGATATGTCTGCCAGACATGCAGAGATGCGATTCGCCACCTGGTTATCAGAAGGGGGAAAGGAGAAGATTAGTTGTGAGTCGTCTGCGTAGCAATGATAGGAGAGGCCATGTGAGGATATGACAGAGCCAAGTGACTTGGTGTATAGCGAGAATAGGAGAGGGCCTAGAACTGAGCCCTGGGGGACACCAGTGGTGAGAGCACGTGGTGCGGAGACAGATTCTCGCCACGCCACTTGGTAGGAGCGACCGGTCAGGTAGGACGCAATCCAAGAGTGAGCCGCGCCGGAGATGCCCAACTCGGAGAGGGTGGAGAGGAGGATCTGATGGTTCACAGTATCAAAGGCAGGAACCCGAGCTTGGCATCGTTGGACATGATAAACAACAATCTGGTCCAGTAGGAGTGACATTTTTGGCGAAAGTAGACCCTTGCCTTTTGGCAGGTCCATTTGTGGTTTCAGGGTGGGTGAGAAAGGAGTTGGGTGCAGTTGAGTCAGTAAAGGTAACCTGTAGTGGACTTGTGATATTTGTTTGTGTTTCTTCTGACCAAAGGGAGCAGGTGCTCCATGTCACGCAACTTGGGTCAAGATCCACTTCTTGCTTTGCTCTTAGGAACAGGGCACAATTGAAAGGAGTGATTTCTGGGGTAGCATTAAGTGTGGAGGTGGAGCAATTGAAGTAGAAAATTCCTGGTGTTTGTGACGACACACGTTTGGTGTGAGGCAGACCCGGTGGGGAGCGTGGTGAAGCAGAGGAGTCACTGTCAGTCCTTTTGAGTTTTGAGTCAGAGTCTCTACCCATCAAAGTCATGTTAGGATATATCAGTTATCCTGTTAGAGCTTTTGTGCCGAATCCACTGCGCTGTTTCAGGTGGAACGTTTATGGTCATGTCGCAGCAGTGTGTAGGAGGGAGATTCCAAGATGTGGGAAGTGTGCAGAAGGGCATGGGACAGAGGATTGTGTAGTTTCGTTGGATAAAGTTGTGTGTGTCAACTGTAGGGGTGCCCATGTTGCTGGGGATCGGAAGTGCTAGAGAGGCAGGTTGAAGTGGCCAGAGCCAGAGTATAGTGCAGAAGGTGTCGTATGCTGAGGCAGTGAAGAAAGTAGAGGATGATGGGTCAAGGGTGAGGGATCCTGAGAGGATCCCAGTGAGTAGTGGATTTAAGCCAGCACAGAGGGATAGGCCAACAAGTGATTTATGCTTCATTATAAACTGGGTGGTTTGAGCCCTGAATTCTGATTGGCTGACAGGTGTGGTATATCACACCGTATACGACGGGTATGACAAAACACTTATTTTTACTGCTCTAATTACATTGGAAAACAGTTTATAATAGCAATAAGGCACATCGGGGGTTTGTGGTATATGACCAATATACCACAGCTAAGGGCAGTGTCCAGGCACTCCGTGTTGCGTTGTGCATAAGAACAGCCCTTAGCCGTGGTATATTGGCAATATACCACACCCCCTCGGGCCTTACTGCTTAAGTAAGATTGGCTTCTTAGCATTCATAGCAATGGTTATCAACTGTACCGAAGAAATGGAAAATAAATCACAGAAATTATATATTGTGGTGGCAGCTGCAGAGAAGTATTTGGGCATACGAGATTTGACAACAGGGTGTGTTGTGGGGTGGTGTCCCGTCCTCCCAGGCCGTTGGCATGGTGCAGGAGCAGATAGGGTCAAAGTAGTGGAATTTATCTAGCTTCGGATCAGAAACCAGTAGTAACCACCATCAGTTAACATAACATAAAA